TTTGACCTAAATTTTAAGCCACATTTGTACTAATAAATACTAAACGCAAACCCGGGTTATTTCATTAGTTAACGCTCATACATCAGACTCCACTAAATTAGTTTGTATATTATGAAAAGTACACGCTACTTTGTTCTTTATCGTGTTTTATTAGAGTTGATAGTTGTTTGCTTTTATGCATTTTTAACGCTGAAATATTTTGTCGTCGTATTTTGTACTTTCCCATAAGAACAATAAGCTATAAAATACAATACAAAGAGGTACCTAATTCACTGTGCAATATTTTACTGACAAATTATCGATATTTTTTACCTGATTTTAATAACCATGGGTAAATTGCATTTTAGATTATATGAATATTATTTTATATACTATTCCAACCGTTCCAACTGTATTCAATATAGATGGAATAAAGTATCTAACTAATGCTATTATGATCATTTCTGTTGTTATAAGAATGGGAAAAAAGTCTTGTAAAAATATATTTTTAGACGTAAATCTACGAAAATCTCTTCTAAGTTTGTTTTAAAAATATCGTTATCCTGTATCGGCTTGTTCCCATCACTATAAGCTTAAAATTCGCGTTCAAGTTATTTACATCCCGTCTCGTGAAAATCCTTTAAGTTTTATTTACTTTAAATTATACGTTCGCTAGTTATCTGCGGAAATACTTACCCGACCGAAAGGTGGAAACTACTTCAATTTCGCAAATAATTATGAATAATAATCATAATTTTGACACGCCATTTTTGGGTGTGAGACGTGTTTTCTGTATTAATTGCTGAATCAAAGAAAGCTAGAGGGGTTTGAATGCACGACTAGAACTGAGAGTCGAGGTATTCTTATTTGTCACGGATTCTCAACGTTGACGTAGTTAGGCTTATGCAGAAGTAAAATAGAAAACTGAATTTAAATCGAGAGTTTAAATTGCTTTAAATATATATATACCGTTAAATTAATGAAATTGTATTAATAATACATTTTAAACTTGAATTCTCGTTCAATGTGTGTGATTAAATTACTATTATAAATTTATCTGAAAATTCGTTTTAAACTCACCGTTGTTTGAAGCACTGGGAACAGGCACGGTCACCATGGAAACGGAAGCGGGAATCTAGAAAAAAATAGAAATTATAAGATATACATGATTTTTTATCCAGATATAAAAATACTAAAATTGTATTTAAATAATATAAAATACCGTAGTATTCTTTACTTATTGCTGTAGGTATATAGGCTAGCCTTCTTCATCTTTATATCCGAATACATTATTGTTTCGCCAGAAATTAAACCCACTTAAGTTTGACGTGGTTATATTTAGAACAAAGTTAATATATAGTGTATGTGGCTTCCACGAGGCTTTAGTTTTAGGTATCGTGTATCTACTGAAAATACGGTTACATCAAAAGGTAACAAGTACAAAGGGTCATTGTTTCAAAATTAACGGACATTTAATTTAATTAATAGATGCTATGTGCGCCTCGGGCTGTTTGTTTCCATTGTAACTATTACAAAGGTAATTTTAGATTATTTAAAAATAACGGCGATCTACGACGATATATTACATATACTTTCTGTAGATAATAGCTTATAAGACCACTAATAATAAACATTATTAAAATGGAGTTGTCCTCGTATTTGTAAGCCTAGGACTTTAAGCAACATCATATCTCGTTCTTAAGAATATGTCGAATTTGCGTAAAGATAGAGATATAACCTATATGTTCACAACAATATTGTCTAGAAACCGGCTAACATTGGAAACGGGTAATGTTCTCGTCATCTTACAAGATTATAATTAGCTAAGATGTTACCTTCGGGCGCTCCCTAACAACTAACTATTGTTACTTAATAACAGAGTCTTATTTTTATACATTTACTAGCTGAAGGAGCTTAACTCTCAAAGGCTTTTTAACTCTTTTAAAGTATTTAAACTCAATAAAACGAATACTTCCAAATCCAATAACCATTAACTTGTTATTTGTTAAAATACGAAATTCCACCCGTATCATCTCGACATCCGTAGTTCCAAAACTGAGCGTTTTTTAAGGCAGTTTCTGCCGCGCACCACCACTATATGGACCACTGAAGTATTTCCGAATCAATTCGACTTAGGAAGTCTTCCAGAAAGGAGCATACCGATTCTTATAAAGGCCACCTGGCAATGTGAGTATCTATGGGCGGCGGTATCATTTATCATAAGGTGAGTTTCCTGCCCATTTATAAAAAATCCAAAGTATTATTAGTACTCAGAGAAAATGGCATCAGAAATTACGAGTTAAATGACTTGCAAAATAATATTAGGCTATTGAAATTTGGAAATTATAGTTTGTTCAGATTTCACATGAACTTTGACAAACTGCTGACACGGCTCACGTGCTTCAATTTTAAATGTTGAAGAATTATTTTATGTATGAATAGGTGTAAGTAGTGTATAAGATGTTGTTTTATAACAATAAATCAGATTTGAATATTGCTTTGTTCCATTCATTTCTAGCCTAGACCGTGGCGAAGACTCCTTCAAGCCCTTAATTATCGTGGTGAGCCTGCCCGATAGCTTTGAACAAATCCCACTACCTTGAACCTTTGATCCTACCCGTGAAGCTCCGTTTGCTACCTTATCTTGGTGCAGACATCCCGTACTTATTTATATATTCACTATTTATGTGTTAGGGTACATTCGTAGGGCTTAGGGATCCGTAGGGTTGTTAGGTAGGCTCACCCTAATATATCTAGTTGTCTAGTGTAGCTTACTAATACATACAATACAAATACTCCCGACATTTATTTCATATAAATTTAAATACAGATTCACAGTCCACTGGCTGGCAAGCTGTACAAAGTCATTAAATAAATAGTAGATTAATGTTAAGGAAGACGCGAGCCGAGAGCGCGCCGCCCGCGCGCTGCTCGCTACTAAAACGTGGTCAGCAGCTATAACTAAAAACGTATGTTATGGCAATGTTTTCAATATACAATATGTAATGTTTTATGAATGAAAAATCAATGTTGATCACTTGAAATACCAACACAACTTCGTTATCTTTATAAATTCCTTGCTACATTTGTAATTACTCTAACAAGATGTTAGTTTAAAACTTCAGATTATTCGCTAAGAAAATCGGTTTTAGCTGACACTGATAGTCTTTTTCATTTATCTGAGACATTCTTAAAATTGCACCACTATGCGTATCGCCTATCAGCTGAAACGATATTAATACTTCAAAGTTGTTTGTCCCTCACAAAGAAATACGGCTTGTCAGTTGTTGGTTACGGAAAATATACACTTTTAATTAAAAGTTATAATTATAACACGTAATCTAATATGTACTCGTACCATGCAATAGTAATAGAGAAACTTATTGCTTACTTTAAGTGGCCCCTTTGCCGTACAACTGTACGGTTAATAACATGTATATATATTTACACACTATATTAAAGAAGTGTTTTTTATCTCTTTTGATATTAAACTAGGTACGGCTATATGTTTAATGTAGTTATTTTTCTTCAATAATCAATCTTATTTTTATCAAATAAATTAGTAAATAATTGTTTACAAGATAAAAATTACAGTCCCGATATTCATAGATAACAACTCACTTGGTAATTCACCTACAAACCCTCCCTTCCCTCCACTTACGAAGATGTGAAAATGAAATTGTTTGAAAGAATGCTATGTGATACCAAAAGTAAGGTATGTGACGAAGGTAGTTCTGATTTTGAAATAAGTTAGCCAAGTCTGCAGTAACTAACAAAATCTTAATTAAAAGAAAGCAAGAAAAGTATTCGAAACATGTTAGTCACGTTATGCTTGTACGTATGAAACTGAGTTCACAGTAAGAAAGCGCCATCTTTTAGATGACTGAAAAACTGCAGAGTACTCAACGTTCAACATTTGAGTTTAGTTACGGGTCATGTTACTTTCAATAGATGGCAGTCAACGAATTTTTAAACCTTTTATTTAAGATGAATAAAAAAGATTTTGAGATTCCTCATTCTAGAGGCCAAGACACATTTTAGCTCACCGGGCTGAGGAATGAGTTTGTAAAATATTTGGTTGTTATGCTGGCTATTCCTGAATATCATTACAATAATAATATAAAAAATTGTAATCTATATAGATGGTATATACCATTCATGAAAAAATCCACTACTACCTACTTATTGCATTTGTTACGTTACAAATCTTGGTTTTTTATTTATTTTATGTTATGTGGAAAATTGTGTAATGGTTGCAGCTACTTACAAACATTGTGTAAAACAAAAAACTTGGCGATTAAAAAGAGTGGCGGAGAGTTTATTGCCAGTTCTTCTCTTCCGTTCAACGCAAGGGCGTTTTTGAGAACTGTTAGGAAATGTAAAATTAGAAGCATTTAATATGTATTTATTTTTTGACGTTCATAAGTGTACATTGTGTTACCTACATGAATAAATGATTTTGATTTGATTTGTTAAAACGTTTCTAAAAATATGATTTTTTGATAAAATAAATTTTCGATGAACGAGAAGTTAAATAGGCAATGTTTTGAATTACAAAGGCCTTTGTTCACCGCAATTTTTCATTTTGCTAAACAATTGTTCAGTCATGTGCAATTTCACTGTTTCAAGGAAACCAATGAGAAAAGTGAGAGCAATTTAAAACGCTTAAATATATCCAAACTAATATTATTAAGGCCAAAGTGTGTTCAAGACCGTGTGTATACCACTGTTAAATGTTACATATTGTCATAAGTAAGTATTTAATGCCTTTACCCAAATAAAAGCCTGTCCGCCATAAATATTGTTCAAGCTGAAACAGTTTTATCCGGATCTTGCATACAGGACCTCTAAATTAAGCACTTTATAAAAAATAGCGTTGATCTCAGTTATAAAGGGAGTTCGTGAGCTTAAGAAAGATTATTCTAATTTAACAATTCATTTACGCTTGATTTGTTAGCTGTTGGATCATCATTTTTCTACGCGTCATGGTACCTTTATAAAATAGCATAATTTATTACAGAATGCAATACCAACTATTCTTTATACCATTTTATGCAATCTACACTTTGTCTACGCATATCGATAGAAATAACTCTGATGTTATAATAACATATACGGGACACAATGAGGCTGACAGAGTGATGAAGGACAAAACTATAAAAGAACCAGTAAGTTTAATGTTTCCTAATTGTTGAATTGATTTCGTCTTGGATACAGCCGGCCCGGCCGGTATTTCGGCCCTTGGGATACAGTTAAAAATAATGTCTATCTATCTAATAAGAAAGTTGAATGTTTCTTTAGAAAAGTGAATTGTACATTTTAATATGCTATGCTAAAGTACATACATATATATTTTCCATACAGCGGACATATAATTTTTTTATCAAGTTTAAAAAGTTGAAACCATAATAGTATTTTTATTGGCGCTCATTATCCGTTTATTTTTATTGAATTAATGAACGTTACCATAGTACAAAATTGTATTGTAAGTAAACCGATCAAAAATCGACGGCATGTGTCAGATATAGAAGATTGATCGCCACCCATTCCTATAATGAAAAACGATTGATGAAACACACAACATGTATCTGTTGCCTTGCCTTGTCTCTGGACAGTGTTATGGACTAGCGTTAAACAAAAGTACCCCTACGCTTGTTGTCTCTCTTAAGGTGCGTACAGACTATATAACATAACATGTTATACAACATTGCTATACAACATGTTTCAGATAATGTGGAATCTGAATGTTATAAAACATGTTATAATAACATGTTATTGATATGTACGCTAGGACGAACCCAGCATCTACGTTTTTTTGTTTTTCTTTTGTTATTTAAAATGGTTATATAACATTGTTATATTGCATTGTTATTCTAATGTGTACAGTATTGTTTTGTGTTATAATGTTGAATAACAAGGTTACATAATGTGGACGTGTTATAAAACACAAGTTATATAATATGTTACATAGTCTGTACGCACCCTTAGATACTCAAGTTAATTATTACATTTGACATACCACAGATAATAAATCCAGATGTCGAAAGTCCACATACGGAAGATTTAACTTTCACAGAAGCAAATGAGGTCGTTTTTATACCTAATGAAAAAGAAGTATTTAGAAATGAGGATTATCGAGACGTTAAAGTACATGATCTTATAGAAAACACTAATGTACGTAATATTATGAAAACTGAACATAAAACTGGTGAGTATTTAATCCTTTAGACAACTTTATAAATCTTAATTATTAGCAGTCCCGGCTCTTCGTTGTCATTTGAAATTTGTGTCATCGATATTATGTGGTAAATGAAAATACCTTGGAAACTATAAAAAAGTTTCAGAAAAACCAGTCGGAGATATCATATTTATATCGGGTAAAAACCATGAAAATGTTGAATCTAACGATAGGCCCAAGGTAGAAGAAAGAAAACCAACAGGCAAGAAAATGAAAATGAATTGTAATAATCTCAATTGTAATAATACGATGGCATCAATATGCGGCATCAAAGAAGAAGATAATAAGATTAAATACAGATTATTTTTAAACGAATGTTTCTTTAGAAAAGTGAATTGTGCATTTAAATACGCTAACAACCGTAAGTACTTTCTATATTATAATAACAGTATGTACTTTCTGGTTAATTTTTCAATAATAATATCCTGTCCTTCGTTGTCCTCACAAATACTTATTCAAGTTCAGATTCAGCTCAACCATCACCCAATTACAACCATACACACATTAACAAACAGTTTGAAACTTTCTCGGCAGTTATATTACAATAATTATGTTTTAGGATACAAAGTAGTGCCGATGGAACATTGTAAGAATATCGGCGGTCGAGTAATACCTAAGCCATACGCACCCAAGCCAAATGTAGTCCAGAAAGGAGATACAAGAAGGAGTTTCTCTTCTAGAAGGTAATATAAGGAAAGGTAGTTTTTAGTGATTAATCAATTACTGGATATATTATATTATTATTTGCAATAAAAGAGGTATTCTAATTATGTGAATATAAATAAAAGTCCACATAAATAGAATTTAGAACATCAATTTTTTAGTTAAAACATCCATTTTTATACTTATAAAAACAAATACTTAAATTACATTGCTTGTAATTAACCAAGACATATTAAAGGGATCTGAATATATTTTAATGTATAACTAAATGAACGAGAAAAACCCTTATTAATGCTGTGAGCGATCGCGAAAATTAAAAAGAATAAACAACACAAAAAATGTGTGATATTTACGTATTATCGCTGAGTGTGGTTTCTTATAACTTTGAGGACCTTAAACATGGGAATAGATGGAGCATTCTGCGGCCACTCATGCCCTGACCACTGCACTGAAGACTACGAGCCGCAATGCGCAGTGTCAGCCAGTGGCGAACGGCGCGTGTTCGTCAATCATTGTGTATTGGATTATAACTCTTGCTTGCATGCCGCTGGTAAACTATCTATTACATAAACTGTACAATTAATATGGTAATTGTGAAGCTTAAATATATTATACGTACATGCGATTGTCCAGTATTGTCGTGTTTATTGCTGGAAATTCTCTATTACATAATGAAGATAGCATAATTATACGAAACGATAATTGTTTCGGCTTTATAGACACGTAGTTAATTGCAAACTAGGTTAACAATACGACAGATTAGAAATGTATCCTAGATTAAGTTCATGGACATATTTGGAATAAAATACTTTCAGTTTGGCAACGCCGTCCTTTATCTGAGTGCGTCGGTGGCAAGAAGGCTGATTTAAGACAAAATAGAGGTTTCATCGGTTGGCTTCAAAGAGTTGGTATTGTCGATAAACGAGGAAGACTTGTATTGTCAAAATAAATTGTATAACCACACATTTAGTTTTTTTGTACACGAGTATTGTCAAATATCATACGCCGATAGAAAAACGTCAGTTTCTGACAAGAAGATTTCATACAATGGTGTGGTAAGTGTAACAATAATATTGTCAATATTTGAGCTGTTTAAGATTTTCGTGTAAAAAATATTATTTGCGCTAAGGTTGATTAATGTTGGCCGGTTTGAACGTCAATAAATATAAGTATATGCATAAACCATAACTCGCTCGTAATATTTTATGGATTATTTAGTGTCCTAACGTTCTTAAATAAAATAATTGAAGCAGCTGTCATTTTAATTATCATTTCTATTTCAGGTCAACAAAGCGATTTAGTTTAAATTTTTTTAAACTCTCCGGTACTTGACAAAACATAATAGGCAGAACCTTATTTTGTTTTAACGATGTGTCGAATTATAGAAAATTTGAGAAACGGTAGAAAACACGGAAATTTAACGTTTATCCAAGAAAGGGAAGTACTGAATTACGTACAACTTAGTGTTTTATTTTTAAATTTATATCACTGCCCTCTACGCTACGCTAATAAAATTACACATGTATGTATGAAGTGTTACATTGGTACCTATTAGAGTCGCCTTGTAGAAGGTAAATAAACATACAAACTCATGACTACAACTACAACAAATGTAAGATTTTTTTTTGTTTTTGAAGTGCCTAATTACGGGACCTATTAGTAGATAGAGGACTAGACTCTATGGCGTGGATGTCTTTTGGTTCTGGAAAGACAAAGAAAATATTTTACTTTAATTGTCTTTGGTTCTATTAACTGACGAGTAATATAGCGCCCTCGGCTTAATTAATAATAAAGAAGTATGGCCTCAATGAGTAAACAACTTCCTACGTTAGTTAATTCTTTTATTTCCTATATAAAAAATATCCCACGGAGGAGTTATAGTTTTGAAGCTTGGAATTCAACGCTAGGGGGCGCTGCAACCTATGTTATGACTAATTCTGTGTTACACTGAAGACATTGCTCATTCACTCTAAAATGTCAAATTTTCATGCTCAAAAGATTACTTAAACGAATTCGATATAACGAACTCGAACTTAACTCGAGTCATTTGTAGTAGTGCAGCAGGCTCATTAGCTACCTAAGAAGGCTTACGTCAAGACTTGGAGATTCTGTAGAACCTTGAATGTAACTTGTTACATTTGGGACTCAGCTATGAGCTTTAACAGTAGTTCTCTACCGAATGGCTAGATGGCGTTACCCAAAATTATAGTAGCGCCATCTGGAAACCAATACCGTTCGCATAAATTTAAAAATCTTTTTAAGTACTTACAATTTATATATAAGCTGATTAGTAGTATTAAACGCAATTGAATTAAGTAAATGTATTTTTCGTATAAAATTATAATAACTATGGTCTGGTCAATTAAGAGACAATAGTGAAGTGACAAATCTGTTACTTTAGACACTAAACCACATTCCAATTATTTATAAGACACCAATTAAATTTCTCAAATTGGTGTAGATGTTGTCACTAAGACGAGTTAGACTCTATTTCACTATCCCAATGTGTTCCCGATGCACTTAAAACGCCAAGAAGCTTTTAGTACCTGACACTTAAAAGCATTAGTATTAGAAATTGAATTATTTCATAGACGTTATCATGCTTTACAAAACTTATCTAGTTCTACATTAGAGTCTAGTTTTACATTGCCGTTTCCATTGTAGATTTTAACCGACGAAAAAGGAGTTTGACCTCTACGTATGTGATATTGCTGCAGTTAGATAATATTTAAGTATGACTATCTATTGAAGTAAGCTTCCTAGATAGCTAAGCAAATCATAAATTAAAAAATAAATTAAAGTAAATTTCGTAAGTGATTGGTGTATAATTGATCGAAAAAATTTCTTTAAATGTAGATGCCTAAAATGCATCCATCTTGGTGGAGGTTCATAGTTCATAGGTATGTACAATTATTTTAAACTTAAAACATAGTCATATTTTAAGTATGCTGAAGTAAAATATAGCAAGACGAATGTAAAATTGGTTCGCCAAACTGGCAGGGCTTTTCTAAATTTAAACATTGTTGAAAAAAGTGAGGTTACTTTTAATCTCCACAATGGCCAGAACAAAAAGCGAAATAAATATTAATGAAAGAATGAATATTCATGGGATTAAGCGTCTGTTATCTTGTTAGGAGTCGGAAAAACTGTAAGACATTTTCATGAATAAATACATTTTTATTACTTCGACGATTCAACGGGGAAGGTTTTTTATAGCTTTTAATATATTATTGTTATCTATTATAAAAAGTTACTTAACACATTTTACATCGTCTGTTTCATCATAGTGTTAGGCGGCTCTGTATAGAGATTATTAAAACATAAAAAGCCAAATCTAAAGCCTGAAACAAAAACAACATTTCACCATATCTGTGATAGCTGACGGGCTCGCATTTGCGGGATCGAACCAGAGAACCAGAAGACAGTATTGTTACAATTAAATATGAAATAAATTGTATAATTTACTATAAATTGTGTTTTATGTCTTTCGTCCGGCGATTACGTAGTAAGCTAGAAAATTCTAAAGTCTCGGAAATTTTCACCCGTTTTATCCCATGTAAGTGCCACCGCCATTGAAGTATAGGGGCACGATAAATTCATGACACCCTTACTATATCATACGCCCTACTTTAATGTCAAATGCAAGATTTTAGCTTTAAAGTATATTCGGCATCGCTACGCTGGGTCTCGTAGCTTCGGGTTTATAACATATTTGAGGTACACTTGAGATAAAGTATAATAATTAAATTTGGTTTCTTGGAAACGAGCATGGTGATAATTGTGATAGACGTCTCGTGATTGGTTTGGACGCAAAATATACAAAGTATTGATAGTAATAACCTATTGTAACTGGAGTCATGTCTTCTCTTTCTCTTTTCTTATTTAGTTCAATTCCGTGTCTAGTGATGAGTAGATGAATTAAATCAAGTCGAAATCAATTAGACAATTAGTATCGGTGTTAATCGCTGCGTAAACTATAACTTTAATTAGTACTGTCTTAGAAATATTATTTAACTAAATAATGTGTCGGATATTCCCATGGGGTCTCAAGATAAGGTAATTTGTTCAAATCACGTTTACGAGTGAAATAGCGAGCCCCGCTAGTCTCAATCGCTTCGCAAATTTGACTTTATTTTTAATTAAGATTTATAATTAGGGATGGAGCCCTCTGCGTTTTGAATAAATGTAGTTTCTGACCTTTCTTGTCATTCGCAACATGGTAGCCATTTTTTTGTATAATACGATTCTTTTTTGATTATTGTAGTACAATTTATATAATAATTAGTATATTTACTACACTTTTGTTTCTTCTTTTATTTTATTTTTTTGCACAATTCTGTCTTACTTTCTTTTATGACCAGTCTCTTGGAAGAGATCGCTTATAAGTAAGATTAAGCCGCCAATTTCAGCATTTAGTGTTTTATATTACTTTCTTTCTTGTACACTGTAAATAAATAAAATATATTTAGAATCATTTTTGCAATAAGCTCCGCCGGCGTATACTAGTCAATAATATAATGTTATGACAAAAGTTAAAATGTATATTTTCAACCCTATCACAAGTTTTTAATTAAATATTTAAATTCATCGCAGAAGCCGCGATAGCGCGCGCCCTCGCGTTGTGCTGCGACCGGCGATGTTTGATACTTTTTTAACCTTACGTACGATAGCTTACCAGAGTTATGTGACTTGACTTCAGTTAATGTATTAATATTTGATTAACACAACACTTTGTAATATATATTTCTATAACCTCTTTAGTTTTCATTCATCCAGAAGTTATAAGATAACATTACCCATATACATCAGTTATATTATAACTATTATTTATATAAAGAACAATAATTTAAAATTTAACCTAGCTTATAAATACAAAAAAAGAACTATAAAAACAATAACTAACCTTAACCTATAATAACTAAAATATATTATTAAAAGGAGGCAAGGCAAGCCTTTAGGCAAGGTTCCGAAGATACTGGCAGCGTTCCCCCTTTGAATAGCTAGACTAATTTTTTGTCCGAGGTAGCTGCCAGCTCTTCGGTGTCCTGTGATGTCGACCAACCTTTTTGATAGTTCCTTAAAAAGCCTTATAGCGTTAGTTATATTATTATGTGTCACATAGTTTTATGCACTGATAAATCTCAAGTGCCAGATTTTGTTAGTTCAGCGTCAAAACCCCACCCCTATTTTTTGTTAGTTATAAGCTCTTATTTTAAACTTCAGTCAATTGACACTTAGCTTCGGACAAAGTTTTTATTTTATGTGAACATCACTCCAGCAACCGCTACCGAACTTCACTCCAGATATTTTACCCTGATTATTAGATAAAGGACTATCAATATAATTATAATTAGGTTACATATTAGTCGCCGATTGGAAACTTATATGAGCCAGTCAGTGCGCATTTCTGGCGTCGGCGCCGATAAGAGAGCAACTGAAGTCAACGATTGATTCAACGCACTACTGACAAATTGACTTTGACACATTCAAAATGTACAACCTGCAAGATGTCTATGATATGGCAAATAGTGAATTGAATTTGTTTCTACAATGGCGCTAACATATTATCAAATACTAAAACTGTTAAGTCCAACTGATGAACAGTTGAGGCGCTCTTCCGTCGCGAGTGTTCTGACACGACGAGTTTTATTTAGCTTAATGTTATCCTGAAATTACTTTGAAATTACATAATATTTAAAATTACAGATTTAACAAATTTACGTTAGAGACTGCGTTTAACATCACTTTTGCCCCATTCATATGACATTAAGTCAAGTTTGATTGTGATATTTTTTTAGACGATTAACAGCCTGCGTGATGAATAATTGTCACAATGGACTAATAATCGACTTATGCCCGTTAACTTTGCGTAGAATTACATGTTTGTCAATGAAGCTGAAGGTCAGTTTCTTCCTGTTTGGCGAATGTACATTCATTTAAGAAAACTGT